ACACTTTTATATCACACACTCAATACATCTCCCACTGTGTGTCTCTCACTTTTTATATCACACACTCAATACATATCTTTACACTGCGTGTCTCATCACTTTATATCACACACTCAATACATCTCCCACTGCGTGTCTCTCACTTTATATCACACACTCAATACATCTCCCACTGCGTGTCTCTCACTTTATATCACACACTCAATACATCTCCCACTGCGTGTCTCTCACTTTATATCACACACTCAATACATCTCCCACTGCGTGTCTCTCACTTTATATCACACACTCAATACATCTCCCACTGCGTGTCTCCACTGCGTGTCTCTCACTTTATATCACACACTCAATACATCTCCCACTGCGTGTGTCTCTCAATACATCTCCCACTGCGTGTCTCTACACTTTATATCACTCACTTTATATCACACATTCAATACATCTCCCACTGCGTGTCTCTCACTTCATATCACACACTCAATACATCTCCCACTGACATATCCCACTCTGTTCGTCTCCTATAGGATATCACACACACATTTCCTCTCCATTCGATATCACACACACATTTTCTCTCCCGTTGGATATCACATACACATTTCCTCTCCCAATGGATATCACACGCTCTATGGCACATTCAAGAAATCTCACACTCTTATAGTACACAATCAAATCATCCCACAGGATATCTCAAACCATGTATTACACAATCAATACATCACATATTTGATATCTCAAACTATATACCACACAATCAATATATCTCACATTGGATATCATAAACCCTATATCTCACATCCAAATCATCTCCCACTGGATATCTCAAACCCTATATAACACAATCAATACATCTCACATTGGATATCTCACACCCTATATAACACATTCAATACATCTCACACTGGATACTTCACACTCTTATCTCACACAATCAATATCTCACATTGGATATCTCAAACCCTATATCACACAATCAATACATCTCACATTGGGTATCTCTAACCCTATATCACACCATCAATACATCTCACACTGGATATCTCACACCCTATATAACACAATCAATACTTCTCACACTGGATATCTCATACTCTTATGTTACACAATCAATATCTCACATTGGATATCTCATACTCTTATGTTACACAATCAATATCTCACATTGGATATCTCAAACCCTATATCACACAATCAATACATCTCAAATTGGGTATCTCTAACCCAATATCACACCATCAATACATCTCACATTGGATATCTCACAATCCATATCACATACTCAATACATTTCACATTGGATATCTCACAATCCATATCACATAGTCAATGCAGTTCACATTGGAAATCTCACCCTCTTTATCACATAATCAATACATCTCACATTGGATATCTCACCCTCTAAATCACATAATCAATACATCTCACATTGGATATCTCGCCCTCTAAATCACATAATCAATACATCTCACATTGGATATCTCGCCCTCTATATCACATAACCAATACATCTCACATTGGATATCTCACCCTATATATCACATAACCAATACATCTCACATTGGATATCTCACCCTCTATATCACATAACTCAATACATCTCAAACTGATATCTCACCCTCTATATCACATAATCAATACATCTTACATTGATATCTCACACTCTATATCACACAATAATACATCTCACACATTGGATATCTCTGCCCTCTATATCACATAACCAATACATCTCAAACTGATATCTCACACCCTCTATATCACAATCCAATACATCTCACACACTGATATCTCACTTATGTATATCACATAATCAATACATCTCACATTAGATATCTCAAAACTCTGTATATCACACAATCAATACATCTCACATCCATGCTTGATATCTCACCCTCTATATCACACAATCAATACACCTCACATTGATATCTCTAACCCTCTATATCACATAATCAATACATCTCACATTGGATATCTCTGCAATCTATATCACATAACCAATACATCTCTACACATTGATATCCCACCTAATCACATCAGAATTCTCATAATTTATCATGCGTAAATCATCATTGGATATCCTCGCCCTCTATATCACATAATCAATACATCTCACATTGGATATCTCACCCTATATATCACATAATCAATACATCTCACATTGATATCTCGCCCTATATCACATAACCAATACATCTCACATTGATATCTCACCCTATATATCACATAACCAATACATCTCACATTGGATATCTCTGCCCTCTATATCACATAACCAATACATCTCAAACTGGATATCTCTCCCCTCTATATCACATAATCAATACATCTTACATTGATATTCTCACCCTCTATATCACATAATCAATACATCTCACATTGGATATCTCGCCCTCTATATCACATAACCAATACATCTCAAACTGGATATCTCACCCTCTATATCACATAACCAATACATCTCACACTGGATATCGTGATACTCACTCTGTATATCACATAATCAATACATCTCACATTAGATATCTCACCCTCTATATCACATAATCAATACATCTCACATTGGATATCTCACCCTGTATATCACATAATCAATACACCTCACATTGGATATCTCACCCTATATATCACATAACCAATACATCTCACATTGGATATCTCGCCCTCTATATCACATAACCAATACATCTCACATTGGATATCTCACCCTATATATCACATAACCAATACATCTCACATTGGATATCTCGCCCTCTATATCACATAACCAATACATCTCACATTGGATATCTCACCCTATATATCACATAACCAATACATCTCACATTGGATATCTCACCCTCTATATCACATAATCAATACATCTCACATTGATATCTCACCCTCTATATCACATAATCAATACATCTCACATTGATATCTCTGCCCTATATCACATAACCAATACATCTTACATTGGATATCTCACCCTATATATCACATAACCAATACATCTCACATTGGATATCTCACCCTCTATATCACATAACCAATACATCTCAAACTGGATATCTCACCCTCTATATCACATAATCAATACATCTTACATTGGATATCTCACCCTCTATATCACATAATCAATACATCTCACATTGGATATCTCGCCCTCTATATCACATAACCAATACATCTCAAACTGGATATCTCACCCTCTATATCACATAACCAATACATCTCACACTGGATATCTCACTCTGTATATCACATAATCAATACATCTCACATTAGATATCTCACCCTGTATATCACATAATCAATACATCTCACATTGGATATCTCACCCTCTATATCACATAATCAATACATCTCACACTGGATATCTCACCCTGTATATCACATAATCAATACACCTCACATTGGATATCTCAGACCCTACATATGACAATCAATGCTACTCCCATTGGACATCTCGCACCCTTTATCACACAATCAATAAATCTCCACTCGCATACTCTGTCTCTCTCTTTTCATTTCTCACTCTATTCACCACACTCTATTTCTGCCATGCATTTCATTCCATGCATTGGTGGCGGTTGGGTAGCCTAGTGGCTAAAGGGTTCGCTCGTCACGCTGAAGACCCGGGTTCGATTCCCCACATGGGTACAATGTGTGAAGCCCATTTCTGGTGTCCCCCGCCGTGATATTGCTGGAATATTGCTAAAAGCGGCGCAAAACCATAGTCACTCACTCATCCATGCATTGCACATCTCATTTGTTTAAAGTACACCCTTTATTCCAAGCTCTAAAAACATTCTTCATCCCACATACCTGTAGTATATCTCACGGTCTGCACACCTTTATCTCAGGTAGCATCTTTCACGTTTTATCTCTGACTAAAGTGCGACATCTCGCGCTCCACAGATCTCACGCCATATCCCAGTCTCTCATCTCTCGCCAAATTACATGTTTTTGTTTCCTTGTTTCTCAATATACACTTAGTCAGTGTTTACCGAACAGCCCCTACACATAATACCAATGAGATCTATTGACGTTGCCTACCAGCTAATTCTGTCTGCTACACGTACAATACCTTCCTAATCCGCACACACACAGTGATAACCGGCATGGCTTTTAATGATAGTGGGGCGATCTCCGTTACTGAAACATGATATTAGGAGATTTTTCTATTTTTCAAGACGTTTTAAGTGAATGCGCAGCATGTCTGAATATTCAAGGTCTTCTAAAGATACAGAAGTCTACATTCCACATAGTTTGAGTATTTCTAGCCCGCGCAGGCGACTCTCAGCCTTTTACGACTTCAGCCAACAATTGTCCTTGTATACATATATACTCCAGCGACGCCATAACTGTGTCTACAGAGAGCCAGCGCCGGGAAGCGAGATAAATATGACACATCCAATTATTATGTATTGTCTGTATATTTTTACACATCCTCCAGCCATGTAGAATTGTGGGCAATTACTTTCAGCTAATTTACCTTTCCGACCATCTGGTGCGTATGCTTTTATCATAAAAGCGACGGGGTTTAACAGCTGGTATTAAATACTTTATGAAGGCATGTTCAGTTGGATGTATTATCTAGTAAACTTGCAAAGCAGGTGTTCATGACACTAAACAAAGAGAAAAATGTTCAACACAGCGGTAATACATTGACAGAACTAATTAACCGAGTGGGATACGGGAGACGATGAAAAGTCACGTTCGACCGATACCTTTCAGTGATTAGCGGGCCTGCATACAGTATGGTGAGATCTGTGTTTATTTTGTCGGTTAAAAGGTACACGTTTATTTCAGCCAGTGTTATACTGTATTCGCGCGGTGGAGCGGAGAAAGCATCGTACAGAAATGTGTATTATATGCACACATCTTCTTTACACGAACACATTATCCATCCAGTCTTTCAGTGTTATAACCATCAATATCAGCGAAAAATGAAATAATTATTACACGGGTTATTAAACAAACTATATTTTATCCGAATATTAGTGGAATAAAATAAATTTGAAAGGAATGGTATTTTTAATTCATGAGGTCGAACATGATAATGTTAGTGCGTTGGTTAGTTCATCCTTGTGAAGAGATAGGGTACGGAAGAACATCCCTGCACATGCTGTTGCAGGCACATTGGGCTGTAGGCACTCTGGTCTGTAGGCACTCTGACCTGTAGGCACATTGGGCTGTAGGTACTCTGGCCTGTAGGCACATTGGGCTGTAGGTACTCTGACCTGTAGGCACATTGGGCTGTAGGTACTCTGGCCTGTAGGCACATTGGGCTGTAGGTACTCTGACCTGTAGGCACATTGGGCTGTAGGCACTCTGGCTAGACTAACATCTAGTCTCTGAAATGAACATATTTTACAGGGGGGAAATGGCTCATAAAAATAAATAATAAAATATAATGAAAAGGAGACGTTCACCATTTTACTGAAACTGTGGCAATCTGGACTTGCCACATACTCTAGTCTTGCATGGTCTTTCTGGTATATATTTGTTTCAGGGTCTGTATGACAGACTAGCACTTTGGCATGTGGGCACAATTATACACATGTATACCGACGCAGAGTAAGTGCCCGGTTTCTGTGTGAGTTCCGCCTGATTTAGAAGGACATAGAATCACCGACTGTTCGGTCTGACCATTACCTGACGTACCGCCGTCAAACAGGTGATGGATTGCTGACTGCGGTATAACCCATACTGCCTGTTTGAAGACTTATTTATTCACACGTAAGGCTTCTGATGAGAGATTGATCTTGATGCTGTTTAATGATGAAGATGACTCGATCATATTTGAACATATACACGGAAAGCACCGAACTGGGTCACGGGGATGGGTTGTCACGGAAGTGGTTTAGCTGGATGCTGTGAATCGTGTGGGTGAGGTGGCGTTATGTTTGTAATGGTATGTGTGTGCGCACGCGCGTCTGTGCGTGCGTGCGCGCGCGTCTGTGCGTGTAAGAGAGATGTGGTTGAGGATGGTGAGTGGTTTTGGGTGTGCATGATGTTTTTCTCTTTTTTCTCTTTGTTTTTTTTATGTATGTGTGTGTGTGTGTGTGTGTGTGTGTGTGTGTGTGTGTGTGTGTGTGTGTGTGTGTGTGTGTGTGTGTGTGTGTGTGTGTGTGTGTGTGTGTGTGTGTGTGTGTGAGTGAGTGAATGTCTGGGTGCATGGATTTATAGGTGTAGGAGTGAATACACCTTGAGTGTGTATGACGGTGTGTGGCGGAGTCAACGTATAACGTATAATGCAATCTATACTGAACGCATCATGTGTGTGGAGTAATATTTATAATCCCACAGGGGATCATAATCCGTCGTATGAAGTACGGTAGACGTCTGACAAATGTGATGATGCACATTATTATTTATTGTGTAGTGAGGGGCCATTGTGAGAGATGGAGACGACGCAGTTAATTACAATCATGTTCGACTGGGAACATTACAAAACAGATATCCGAAGCATACTGCTCTGAACAGTCGTGTAACCTGGCTATACCGTACACGCAGATATCTGAAGCATACTGCTCTGAACAGTCGGGTAACCTGGCTATACCGCACAAGCAGATATCTGAAGTGTACTGCTCTGAACAGTCGTGTAACCTGGCTATACCGCACAAGCAGATATCTGAAGTATACTGCACTGAACAGTCATGTAACCTTGCTATACCACACAAACAGATATCTGAAGTATACTGCTCTGAACAGTCATGTAACCTGGCTATACCGCACAAACAGATATCTGAAGTATACTGCTCTGAACAGTCGTGTAACCTGGCTATACCACACAAGCAGATATCTGAAGTATACTGGTCTGAACAGTCGTGTAACCTGGCTATACCACACAAACAGATATCTGAAGTATACTGCTCTGAACAGTCATGTAAACCTGGCTATACCGCACAAACAGATATCTGAAGTATACTGCTCTGAACAGTCATGTAACCTGGCTATACTAATACACAAACAGATATCTGACACAAACAATATCAGATATCTGAACCTGTATACTGCTATCTGAACATACTGCTCTGAACAGTGTAACCTGGCTATACCACACAAACAGATATCTGAAGTATACTGCTCTGAACAGGCGTGTAACCTGGCTATACCACACAAACAGATATCTGAAGTATACTGCTCTGAACAGTCGTGTAACCTGGCTATACCACACAAACAGATATCTGAAGTATACTGCTCTGAACAGTCGTAACCTGGCTATACCACACAAACAGATATCTGAAGTATACTGCTCTGAACAGTCGTGTAACCTGGCTATACCACACAAACAGATATCTGAAGTATACTGCTCTGAACAGGCGTGTAACCTGGCTATACCACACAAACAGATATCTGAAGTATACTGCTCTGAACAGGCGTGTAACCTGGCTATACCACACAAACAGATATCTGAAGTACACTGACCAGAACAGTCATGTAACCCTGGCTATACCACAAAAACAGATATCTGAAGTATACTGCTTTGAAAAGACATGTAACCTGGCTATACCACACAAACAGATATCTGAAGTATACTGCTCTGAACAGGCGTGTAACCTGGCTATACCACACAAACAGATATCTGAAGTATACTGCTCTGAACAGGCGTGTAACCTGGCTATACCACACAAACAGATATCTGAAGTATACTGCTCTGAACAGTCATGTAACCTGGCTATACCACACAAACAGATATCTGAAGTATACTGCTCTGAACAGACGTGTAACCTGGCTATACCACACAAACAGATATCTGAAGTATACTGCTCTGAACAGTCGTGTAACCTGGCTATACCACACAAACAGATATCTGAAGTATACTGCTCTGAACAGTCGTGTAACCTGGCTATACCACACAAACAGATATCTGAAGTATACTGCTCTGAACAGCCGTGTAACCTGGCTATACCACACAAACAGATATCTGAAGTATACTGCTCTGAACAGGCGTGTAACCTGGCTATACCACACAAACAGATATCTGAAGTATACGCTCTGCTCTGAACAGTCGTGTAACCTGGCTATACCACACAAACAGATATCTGAAGTATACTGCTCTGAACAGGCGTGTAACCTGGCTATACCACACAAACAGATATCTGAAGCATACTGCTCTGAACAGGCGTGTAACCTGGCTATACCACACAAACAGATATCTGAAGTATACTGCTCTGAACAGGCGTGTAACCTGGCTATACCACACAAACAGATATCTGAAGTATACTGCTCTGAACAGTCGTGTAACCTGGCTATACCACACAAACAGATATCTGAAGTATACTGCTCTGAACAGGCGTGTAACCTGGCTATACCACACAAACAGATATCTGAAGTATACTGCTCTGAACAGTCTTGTAACCTGGCTATACCACACAAACAGATATCTGAAGTATACTGCTCTGAACAGTCGTGTAACCTGGCTATACCACACAAACAGATATCTGAAGTATACTGCTCTGAACAGGCGTGTAACCTGGCTATACCACACAAACAGATATCTGAAGTATACTGCTCTGAACAGTCATGTAACCTGGCTATACCACACAAACAGATATCTGAAGTATACTGCTCTGAACAGGCGTGTAACCTGGCTATACAACACAAACTGATATCTGAAGTATACTGCTCTGAACAGTCGTGTAACCTGGCTATACCACACAAACAGATATCTGAAGTATACTGCTCTGAACAGCCGTGTAACCTGGCTATACCACACAAACAGATATCTGAAGTATACTGCTCTGAACAGGCGTGTAACCATGCTATATCACACAAACAGATATCTGAAGTATACTGCTCTGAACAGTCACTTAACCTGGCTATACCACACAAACAGATATCTGAAGTATACTGCTCTGAATAGTCATGTAACCTGGCTATACCACACAAACAGATATCTGAAGTATACTGCTCTGAACAGCCATGTAACCTGGCCATACCACACAAACAGATATCTGAAGTATACTGCTCTGAACAGGCGTGTAACCTGGCTATACCACACAAACAGATATCTGAAGTATACTGCTCTGAACAGTCATGTAACCTGGCTATACCACACAAACAGATATCTGAAGTATACTGCTCTGAACAGTCATGTAACCTGGCTATACCACACAAACAGATATCTGAAGTATACTGCTCTGAACAGGCGTGTAACCTGGCTATACCACACAAACAGATATCTGAAGTATACTGCTCTGAACAGTCGTGTAACCTGGCTATACCACACAAACAGATATCTGAAGTATACTGCTCTGAACAGTCGTGTAACCTGGCTATACTGAAAACAGATATCTGAAGTTACTGCTCTGAACAGTCTGGCTATACCACACAAACAGATATCTGAAGTATACTGCTCTGAACAGTCATGTAACCTGGCTATACCACACAAACAGATATCTGAAGTATACTGCTCTGAACAGGCGTGTAACCTGGCTATACCACACAAACAGATATCTGAAGTATACTGCTCTGAACAGTCGTGTAACCTGGCTATACCACACAAACAGATATCTGAAGTATACTGCTCTGAACAGGCGTGTAACCTGGCTATACCACACAAACAGATATCTGAAGTATACTGCTCTGAACAGTCATGTAACCTGGCTATACCACACAAACAGATATCTGAAGTATACTGCTCTGAACAGGCGTGTAACCTGGCTATACCAACACAAACAGATATCTGAAGTATACTGCTCTGAACAGTCGTGTAACCTGGCTATACCACACAAACAGATATCTGAAGTATACTGCTCTGAACAGGCGTGTAACCTGGCTATACCACACAAACAGATATCTGAAGTATACTGCTCTGAACAGCCGTGTAACCTGGCTATACCACACAAACAGATATCTGAAGTATACTGCTCTGAACAGGCGTGTAACCTGGCTATATCACACAAACAGATATCTGAAGTATACTGCTCTGAACAGTCACTTAACCTGGCTATACCACACAAACAGATATCTGAAGTATACTGCTCTGAATAGTCATGTAACCTGGCTATACCACACAAAACAGATATCTGAAGTATACTGCTCTGAACAGCCATGTAACCTGGCTATACCACACAAACAGATATCTGAAGTATACTGCTCTGAACAGTCGTGTAACCTGGCTATACCACACAAACAGATATCTGAAGTATACTGCTCTGAACAGTCATGTAACCTGGCTATACCACACAAACAGATATCTGAAGTATACTGCTCTGAACAGTCGTAACCTGGCTATACCACACAAACAGATATCTGAAGTATACTGCTCTGAACAGGCGTGTAACCTGGCTATACCACACAAACAGATATCTGAAGTATACTGCTCTGAACAGTCACTTAACCTGGC